ACTGGGTAAGTTGATAATGTAACATGTGAATGTTTCACGTAAGAAATATATTTTGCATTTGGACACTTAGTAATGCGGAATGAATGTAAAATGACGAATACTTTCTTTAGTTATCCGTAGAACAACTTTGCCACCTTCCTACCACTTTGCTACAGAAACGCAGATTATTACAGTGCTTTCAAAACTGCGCTTGTCAGTTATGGTGCAACGGAGATTTTATGCCCGTTTCCTAAGTTTCCTAAAATGTGTATGAATGTTTGAACTTTTCCCCCCTGATTTATAACGTATTTACTAGACACTCCCTCTGTTTACGGGGAGGTTTAAGAATTTAAGAGATAAAACGTAGCTATGTCGGCGAGTTTGAGGATCTTAAATCGCTTAAAAAAACATCCTACACTGAAAAACTCATAAACAGTGAACACTACCTAAAGGAAGGAAGGACAACGGATTACTACTATCATGTCGTTATTAGGTAGTCTGTCCTCGCTCGAGGGTTTGGTAGACTACATGTCTTCGTTTCCCAGTTGCGTGGATCGCTGTGGATGATGTCAATCACAAGAGCGTCCATTATTCAAAGGATGTATTTTGGGTGTACCCCCACTGTACCCACTTTTCTCCAAACAACAAAATGCAGCCACCCGTAGAACAATAGGGGATTAGTTATAGTCTGTTTCAAGGTACGTCTGGTGACAAATTGACCAGAAGTCTGAATAAATTGGTGAGCTAATAAATGTCCCAGTCATGCATTTATATGATAAAACGAACCCCCACTTCATCATTCATCATCATGGCTAATGATCAAGTTGACGTGACAACTTCCTCCTGCATTCAGCACCTGACAAGAACTTTATGCTATTTTCCACACCAGACAACCTCCTCCATCAAGCTGCTGCAGACACCCTGTATTGTGATTGGACATATATGTTGATGATGTTATTGATGTTACTCATACCAATGTTTCAAAAGATGCATATCACCTGTATGTTTATAAATTATTATTTCAAACTCATTATGTCTTTCTGTGTTAATGCCAGTTACATACGAGTTTATGAATTAAGTAAATCCTTTAGTATGTAGTTTATGACTATACTATATATCAGTGCCCACTACCCTGATACAGACTATAACCTAATCCCTGTTGTTTAACACTGCCCATTTGCAAAAGTGGGAGTAAACCGTATTTGGCTGAGCCGTGAAGATCCGGGATAGAACAGATCTTCGTCAACCCAAGCCTGCCGTAAGAGGATCGGGTGGTCAGGCATTGACTTGGTTGACACACGGAATCCAAACTGCGAAGATTGTTGCGCATGATGTTAAGTAATGGATTATCTGGTCCACAGGACACAGGACGCTTTAGCTGGAATATAGCTGAGTTCGCACAATAAACATATATTTCTTGACAACACACACGCTTTTTGTGGTCCCTTGGGACCATGTGCACGAAAAGGCTTGACAAAAGTGAACAACTGCTTTATGGTCAAATGTTCCTAAACCGCTTGCCGACAAAGAGTGAGTGAGTGAGTTAATATTTAACGTCACATTGGCAATATTTCAGCCATATCGTGACGAGCTTACCGACAAAGAAGATGTACAGACGATGCTTCAATAACTCTTCTGAATCTCATCTATAAACATTTGGAAAATAGTGGATCATATGTGAGGATTCTTTTCGCGGACTTTTCCTCCTCATTCAGTACCATTCAGCCACCTTTATTCTGTCAAAACTGTCAAACATGTGTGTTGACAGTAATCTAATCAGATGGTAGACTCTTTTATGATTAATAAACCTCACTGTGTTACTGAAAATGGGATCAGTTCCTCTGTTACCAACCTGTCCACTGGAACTCCACAAGGATGTGTTTTGTCACCAATATTGTTGATTATTTTTACCAATGATTGTATCAGTGAAACAGCTAACTGTTTCATTATCAAATTTGCCGATAACGCAGCAATTGTTTCACTTTTGAAATCTGCCTACCTTGATTACAGAAATGAGGTTTTGAATTTTACAAATTGGTGTAAAGATAACTTTTTAATTTTAAGTACTAAGAAAACAAAAGATAAGATTATAGATTTCAGAAAAATCATCTCACCCTTTAGGACCTACTTCAAATGGAAATTGTGACTAATACAAGCATTTAGGCACTATCATTGACTGTATGCAAACTTGGAATGACAATGTTGATTACGTATACATAAAAGGTCAGCAGAGATTGTATTTCTTTCGTCGTTTCAAACAAGTTTAGACTTGATTGTTGTCTTATATGTAATGTTTTACGAAACATAAATACAAAGATTTTAACTTTTAACCCTACTTTGTTGGTTTGGTAACCTGTCTGTTCAAAACAAAACTAAACTCTGCAGAATTGTTAACGCAACACCCAAAATCATTGGCATAGATTTAGCAACATCTATCGTCCTTCTTTACGAGCAGCAAGTTGTCACAAAATAGCGGCAAATTGTAGATGACAGTTCTCATATTCTATTTTACGTTTTTGAATTTTTTCTGTCGGGACGTCGTCTGCGCATGCCAATAGCTAGTACAAATATGTTCCGTCATTCTTTTGTATTCATTATTTTAACAACAGTTAATCTCCATATTCATTCATTTATCATCTTACCTTCATGTACACCATTTTACACAAGTGCTATTTTTATCTCGTCATTACATTAAGTCATATCTTACTCTTTCACTCTTTTAGTGCTCTTACCTATTTATTTTTTTATTATCTTAATGCTTGTTGAAATGTGATATGTTGTGATTCCATGTTATGTTGTGTTCTACGTGTTTTACGATGTAACCAAAATTCCCCTCGGGATAATAAAATGTTATTTTATTCTATCTTAATTCGTGTGGTGCAACTGCCCGTGAAAACTATTCAGTACTCAACTGCATCACACTTAGTGTTTGACAGATCTGTGTGAGTGGTGACCTCAAGAACACAAGTCCGTCTGAGGTCTACAACTGTATATTAGACAACAACTGTTGTATATCAGTCACACACCAGGTCTAAAATACACAGGTCTATTGTCTATATACTTCTATTTCAATAGTTTGTCATTTTGTGATGATAATTAATCATATCATGAATTGCATACTATTTGAACACACCCAGTCAAATATCCATCATTATTTAGGATATATCTCGTCCATCAGTCTTGCGAAAAAACCCGACAATCCAGTAACTCATTCCAGATGTACCCGTGAAGGTCCGGGTTAGAATTTTGATCTTCAGTAACCCATGCTTGTCGTAAGAGGCGACTAACGGGGTCGGGTGGTCAGGCTCGCTGACTTGGTTGACACATGTCATCGGTTCCCAATTGCGCAAATCGATGCTTTTGCTGTTGATCACTGGATTGTCTGGTCCAGACTCGATTATCTACAGACAGCGGCCATATAGCTGGAATATTGCTGAGAGCGGTGTAAAAGTAGACTAACTCACTCATTCCAGATGTCGAGTGCATATCCGTGAATGACCTTTGTTTCTTTGGTATTGTTAAAAAAACGTATAATAATGTTATGTTCATTATTGTCTTGGCTACTGTCCACCGCCAAACGAGGCCGCGGAGCCATCTGTATGAGTATGAGACAAAGGTGTTCTACTGACCAGTGCAAAATTAGAGATGAATCCTGTCTGATCAATTAGTACGGCAATCCTGTATCCTCTTACCCCAGGATAAATCTGTGCAGTTAAGACGTACCATGCACTTTCCCTCACAGGATCTCCGCAGATAACAGAGGGTTATTGCAATGTACATTGTCTGCGGTGGAAGATTGGCTCTCTTGTACACACTCGTTTAAGCAGAAATAGGTCATTCAAGGATTTGGGCCAACGGATGACAGTTGGTACATGAGTGAGATAAAGATTAATGTCGCATCTACTTTGTTTCAGCCATATAGCGAGGAGACCAAGTTTACACATACACACAAGTGAATTATAAACACAAGGTCCCGCATTTTTATTATACACACATTTTAACATTACAGTATTATTTACAATATAAAATATAGGCTTTTACAATATTACTTACAAGTTAAAGCAAGGGCTATAAGCCAAAATGAAAAACAAAACCACAAGCATTTAGTTATACACATACACGAGGGAAATAACCTTTATGCAGAATATGTAAAGCACAATCATCACATGGATGAAAGATTCAGAAAACACATGTTCGTCTTAAGGGAATGGTGTTAAGCTGATGATAGGTGAGCAGCATTGTCTTATCCATAAACATACATCAACGAAATATCGAAGTTCGAAGCTAAAATAAGAAAACTATCGTCCTCTGTGGAAAAGTGTATCTTTGTTTAACAGAGAGAACTCGTCATAATTTTATTAAAAATATCAACAAATGTGTGTTGCAATAATACAAGTTCCAGAGAGACCAACGATGAACCATAATATCAATATATTACGTCTTTGTGTTTTTGTAATGCATCCAGGTGTATACTATCTATTATTCATAGTAATGATATAGATGTTTTTCAAACAATATGTGAATCTATTATATCACTGAAGATTGATGCCTCAATATTGAAACATTGTCCTCGTATGTACAGTGCATTATCATATGTTGTGCTTCGCCTCTGCACAAACGATCTGCCCGTGAAAATCCGGGTTAGAATGAACCTTCAGTAACCCAATGCTTGTCGTAAGAGGCGACTTACGGGATCGGATGGTAAGGCTCGCTGGCTTGGTTGACACACGTTATCGGTTCCCAATTGCGCAGATCGATGCTCATGCTGTTGAGCACTGGAATGTCTGGTCCAGACTAAATTATTTACAGATGGCCGCCATATAGCTGGAATATATCTGAGTGCGGCGTAAAACTAAACTCACTCACTCACTCACAAACGATCTGGCGATACGGTTGCATTCAGACAGGCCAAGCCACGAACAGTGCATGCACTGTTCCAACATATCTATTTATTGGCCCAGAAACAGAATGTTAATTAAGTTTTTTCAAATGTAGTTCGATCAGGGATTTGTCTTGTTCAGTCAACCCTTGTAACTTGTCCCACATGATTCCACGCATTTTAGTTAAGGACGATATTGGTTGGTTTGTTGGTTGGTTGTTGTTTAATGCTCACTCAGCAATATTCCAGCTTTATGGTGGCGGTATGCAAATAATCGAGTCCGGACCAGACAATCCAGTGATCCACAGCATCAACATCGATCTATGCAATTCAGGACAGTATTGACGCCGTGACTTTGCATGTTTTTTTGTGAAAATCAGGGTCCCCAATAATTGGTGTTATAAAAACGTGCCTTTGACATTATCGGAATCGTACAGTGGACTCCGCGCCATTACAAGGAACAGAGATTTGTATTGATTAAGGAAAGTGTTGTTTTCTTCCTCTATTTAGAAGGGGCTAGGTGCACATTACAGTCACTTGTTTCCTCTTACGTCAGGGCGATTTCACACACAAACCGTTGTACGTAATTACAAACGTCGTCATCCAAGATGTCTTTGTCGATTTCCAAGCACATTTTAGTGGAATCAGACATTGAAAAGCCAGAGATTGAAGTTCCATCTACCCACTTCCACGAGCCAGGAGTTGATGTTTGCTGTCCCCCGATGAAGTAGTCTACGTCAGAAGTTCCGATGATATCTACAAACAAATAAATGGATGAGTTGTATTAAAATTTGTCGAAAACGTCGAATAAGGTCATGAAGTATGACAAGCTCAAAATGATACAGGACGACAACGACCTCCACACTGCTGAAACCATCAGCACGGGCATTCGTCTATGTTCAGGTGTGCACTTGATTTGCCTTTGCGTGTATTTGTGATGGTTGACAAGGCAAGAATCATACAAAGGATTCAGGTTTGAGAGAATATCAGTGTATGAACAGTTTAATGATGTGATTGTCAGAATATTTCTGATGATTGTGGAAGGGATTTATTGCTTTTTGTTTTATTTATAAGACATTACATTGTACCCTGTTCATAACGCCACCATTTACCCAGGACGATTAATGTCGTGGCGCTGTGTGGTCCTGTGCGTAAATCAGTGGAAGTTAAGCGGAGAGTCGCTGGATGGGTGACCGTGTTTCGCAGCTTGACTCCTGCGGGTTTCTAGGACCAGACCTGCTCCACAACGAAGCATATGTGATACATGTGCTCTCACCTTTGGCAAGTGAGTTTGTTCAAAATTGCCCCTGTTCACCCACCAGAAAATAGGTACCCGGTGTGATAAGTCATGCGACTATTAACCTTCTCTAGCAAGAGTAATAATAATCACATTGTTGGCAGCGTGCTCCGCCGTGGTGCGGAATTCAGGGCATTACAAATGCCCTTATTCATATCATTATTATAACCAGACTGGCATCAGAACCAGGAAAAACAAATATGTCGGCCGTAACCTCAATGCACTAAAATAATAACCAAACGTAGTATAACAATAATTTGCAGACATATCTGTCATCGTCTGGGTCTCTCCCTCTTGAATGTTAGGGGGCAGTGGGGTAGCCTAGTGGTTAAAGCGTTCGCTCGTCACGCCGAAGATCCGGGTTCGATTCCCACATGAGTACAACGTGTGAAGCCCATTTCTGGTGTCCTCCGCCGTGATGTTGCTGGAATATTACTAAAAGAGGCGTAAAACCCAACTCACTCACCCTCTCACTCTTCAATGCTCGAAGGTGTAGAAGACAAGTGTGACCAGTATGATTCCAACGATTTGTGACAAGTGTGACCAGATCTTAGACATTCCTCACATAGGGTATACTCATTCGTCAACACTCGTTCTTTCCGTAACCTTTAAGTAAATCCTTGGCCCCATTTCACAAAGCGATCGCAGCACCAAGGTGATCGTAACTCCCATACATTAACATAGAATTTAGACAGTCGTAGTGCTACGACCGCTTTGTGAAACGGGCCCCTTATCGGTAATGTTATGAGCGATAATACGACAAACCAATCAGAACACACGTTAGGATGGAGGTACTTGATAAAAGCAACTAGAGTAATTTAATCAGTCATGACATTATGTGATAGTTAGAAAATCATGAAAATGTATATAGTCATATTGACATGACATAGAACGGAATTGTGTTGCCTTATTCAAAGTTTTCAATAAGGAAAGGATCACGAACAGTGCGATATACAGACACATGCGTTTGTTTACGTAACAGCTCTAAGTGACCAACTGACTGTGTTTTGGACGATCTTCCGGACGTGCTTTGGAGATTTTACGTGCGTTTTCCAAGCTTTTCAGGTCATCTAATTATAAAATGCTTAGAGTTTCAAAACAAACATTATTTAGCGCGTGTTGCTGTTTGCTTTGTCCCGGAATATATAATATGAGCGCATGCTGTCACTAGATCACTGGGCGTTGATTGTCAAGGCCCCCAATCAGTGTGCGAAATAGCCACTGGCCCGCTAGCCCATGGCTTGTAAAAATCCAGTCGGGCCACAGTCACTGGTCCAACTGGCTAGTGAATTTCATGGGGTCACTTTGTAAATATATCACTCTCTCCGACTTGTTAAGTTATAATACACTTTTAAATCATGCAAGATTATGTTCATCATATTAGCGGCTTAATGACGAAACCCGTATCATGCCGACAATATCTTATACTCATCTATTTCTGTAATCTTTTGCTTAGTTTCTACATTCAAATTTCGGGCTAGTGAATTATTTTGTGGGCTAGAAAATTTCAGGCATAGCTAGCCCGACTGGAAACTATTTCGCACACTGCGTCCCCAATCAGATGTTTGCGATACAGCTTGCAGCTTATGCTTCGAGGGACAGAATTAAACCAGCACGTGAGTTGTGCCAATCAAGATAAAATCCATTATCACGGAGAAAACCCATATGATTAACCATTGATAAGCTTAACCAATGATTAAAAGCTCACTTTACTGTGTATGGCGTTTCAGAATACAAAATGTTCAACGATGAAGATACGTATAAAACGTCAACGCCAGATAGTTCGATGCTCATTATGTCAATCACCGGATTGTCTGTCCAGACTCGATTATTTACATGTAGACCAGCGTCATTTATAGCTGGAATATTGCTGTGTGCGGCCCTATACAACAAGCAATCAAACTTTCGGTTACCCGCCGAAACAAATTGCATTGGGCCTGTAAATGAAAATAATGGTATCAGTCAGTTGCTGAAAACACAATTTGCATTACAAAAAAGTTTTATTCCAAAAACTGCTCAGAAGCATTCCTGATACGCGACGACGTCCTGGTAACAATCGAGTAGTGACCAGGCAACCATGTGATGGGCAATATAATCCACTGACACGTTGTCATATAAGTAAGCGAGTATGGTTTTACGACACTGTTTGCAATATTCCAGAAACAACACAGACGGGGACATAGAAATGTCGGCGTGACGAGCAAACGCTTTAAGCACTGGGCTACCTCACCGCCCATCACATTTAGTGCTTGTGTTGAACATCAAAACTTAGACAAGTGCAGAGATTCTACTGATGCATTTTCAAAGATACGTTCAAGAAATATTTTCGTTTTGCACATGTAACCCTGTAGGCTTATCTTGCTGTACTTTGTCTTTTAGCGACGCACACAAAAATCGTACAGCTGGATGACGACGGTTTGTATATAATCGAAACTGGACAAGACAATCCAGTGATCAACAAAATGAGCTTGGATCCACACAGCTAGGATACGTTGACATGTGTCATCCAAGTCAGCTAGAATGACAACCTGATCCTGTTACTGGCCTCTCACGACAACCATGGGTTCCTGGAGACCAATCCTAAACCGGATATTTAACCAATTCTGTGATTGCTATCATAAACATCGACCTATGCTCTTAGGATACCACGACATGTGTCAACCATGTCAGCTGGAATGACTACCGATCGCCTCTTTCAGCAAGCACGGAGTTGCTTAAGACCTCGACCAAGCTGAAAGAAATCAAATTATGCAGAAAAGGTGTTATTACCCAATAACTATCGACCAAGCTGAAAAAAATCAAATAATGCAGAAAAGGTGTTATTACCAAATATCGCCTGGCGAATAAACGTTTCCTTGGCGCTTGTCTGAAGGGCTATGAGATCCCCTCCTTCAGCTTGACAGTAGGAACGAGCATCGTTCCAGTTTCGAGTAATCGATGAGATCTTGTAACATACGTTGACAGAAGCGTCATGTATGTAGCCACTGCTTGTTGGACATGTCACTTGAATTGTAGAAGGTACATAGATGAGTTTGATGTCGACCGTGTTGGCATAAACAGTACATTTCGAAACGTCAGCAACAATCCTGAGTTAAATAGATGTTCTCTCTATTGTTTGAAACTCTGCTGGGGGTTAAAAAGAAATATAGCAGGATCGATCTGAAGGAACTCATGAAATATCTCTATTTCGGTATCAAAGTAGGTGCCTTTCGGGCCCGACTGACTAAAAGCTATACAAAGTAACATATATCGACTGTGCACTTTTTACACATTGTTAACCTACCAATGCATGACGTTTCCTGTAATGATAAGCCTATCTATGTAAAAATATTGAAATCCACCAATACAACGTTTCCTACCTAAACAGAGTTGGCTTTCAAAAACAATTTGTAGTTAAAAAGTCAAATGTGGACTCGTACCTGGACACACTGCAGTATTACATGACACTACTGTATCTCTGGTGGGTGATCCGCTACAGGTGGCCCCCCCGTTAGATGGGGCAGGGTTGGTACAGGTTCTGGCCTCGTGTCTGGTTTTTGTCCCTCCCCCACAGCTCAGAGAACAGGGTTCCTCAGGGGAAGTGATCCAGCTGGACCAACCGCCATCAACTGCATGAATGAAGAGATTGTGGGAGTGAGTGGGTGTGGTTTTACGCCATTTTAGCAACATTCCAGCAATATCACGGCGGGGGACACCAGAAATGGACTTCAAAACATTGATCACACAACAGTCTCGTTTCCTGCTGACTGGGTTCCGTCTTTTTGCGCAACTTAGTACAATAACCAGTCCAGAATTCAACTGGATATATAAATATTAATCAGTATTATTGGATATATCGTATCACTTGTATATTGCAACACTACGTGCTCTGACAAACGGAAATCTGGAAATCGTAGAAATTTCAAAACGAGGCCACAAAAAAGGTTTGGCGGTCTTTCACGGCCTTGATGTTGTACCAATCACATACTCTACGTTAGAAAAATACATGGGATAAGCGGAAAGAACACATAACATGTGTAACCAGCAAGCCAGATGACTTGTGAATCATTTTAAAACCTCATCAAACCTCGCCATAAAATATAGAAATACGATTGTTTTTCAGTTTGAAATTAAAATTCATTTGTAAATACCATTTTCTTATGGAACAAGGAATTGTAATTTTGTGTAACCATAGTTGTTTGTAGTGTCTCTTTTCATTTTCACACGAGAAAATTCGGATCGGCTGACAAGTAGGAAATTGTCTGAATTGGTTCATGAGACTCAAGTTTCGGTTTGCACATTGTACGCATGTGGGGAATTGAACCCGGGCTTTCAGCGCGAGAAGCGGACGCTTTAACCATTAGGTTACCCCACAGCCCGAAATGATTGTGTTATGTTATGGCCTTTGTTGTTATTGCTGCTCACAAACCAATGATAGTTGATGGTATCAGTGAATGCAACTAGCACTCAATGCTTACAACTTAACGGGCAGAACAAACGTGACACCTTTTGATTTTGCGATTTTCGAATGACAATTTGGAAATGACAACGATACACCTTTCATTTCCTATTACAAAATACATGGGAACACATAAAACATCAATAACAATTCTGTATGGCTCGCGACTATGTCACAAATTGATATTACGTCCCTTAAACACTGCCTTTCTCTTTAGGGTAACATTTCTTGTGTTGTTACTTAATTTCAATTAATATCAATAAATAATGTATAGAATAACCTACATAAAACTCGGGATTAACATATACCTTAACCTACGGTGAATGCTTTAAGTCTCTCGACACCGACATGGAAGAAAGGCGCTCGTGACATATGATCCGTAAATGTGGTTAATCTATAAATGTGTCACAAGCTTTAATCCTCAATCATTTAGAAGCGTCTGTTTATGATGGACGTTTCCAGTCAGTTTCCATGATGCTCAGTGATGCAGACCCGTGAAGATCAGGGTTATAATTGATCTTCAGTAACCCTTACTTGTCGTAAGAGGCGACCAACGGGATCGGGTGGTCAGGCTCGCTGTCTTGGTTGACGCATGCCCTCGTATCCCAACTGCGTAGATCGATGCTCATGTTGTTCATCACTGGATTGTCTGCTGCCATACTCGAGTATTTCATCACTGGATTGTCTGCCGCCATATAGCTGGAATATTGCTGAGTGAGTAGTAAAACAAACTTACTCACTCATTCAGTGATGCACAGAAAACAACTGTTTGTCTGTAGATGGACTTAATACACCGTGGCACAGTTTCCCAAAGTCGATACCATGCCCTGTATATATTGGACAAATAAATCGGCTAATCATTCCAGATGAATACTTCCGGTCAATTGGTATAAATGTCACAGGTTGAATTGTTCATACAATGTATAGCACAGCACCCATGGCACAATTCACAATTTTGTCCCTAACGGCTTGCCATACAGATGAGTTGGCTGCCAGCAGGTACATCCTGGGCTCTGGCACATGCTGCTCCTGCAGTCTGTACACTCAGGTGATAAAAACGCTGCACCCGTAAAGATCCGGGTTAGAATTGATCTTCAGCAACCCAAGCTTGTCGTTAGAGGCGACTAACGGGATCGGGTGGTCAGGCTCACTGACTTGGTTGACACATGTCATCGTATCCCCTTATGTAGATACAAGTTCATTGTTTTGAGTGCTGTGTAACCATTCTTCAAGGGTATATGTATTTGTAACGAGTATTTGAGTGTAGGAGCATTTAGCAACAACACAATCATAGAGTTCCACGTAACTAATTCATGTGCATTACATACTTTGATATTCGATTGATATCAATTACAATCCAAATATTTTTCCACAGTATTCATCATAATTAGACTTTAAACAGTCAAATTTCCTTTTCTCAAATAATTGGGTGGTTTTGACCCAAATTGTGGTTATTTTCCACTGGTAACATGTTTACGACGGGTGACAGGATTCTCCGTTCGATTACCTAAATGAGGATAAATGGGAGCGTCAAACTAGAGACAGTGATCTATAATTCCAAGTTTGAATAGGCGTTATTGATACATAGGCGTATGGTGTTTCTGTGGGTAGTTGTCAATAAACACTGATTAAATACTAATGCGAAACCACGGAATAGGTTTGTACGAGAAGTGACAGAAGAGTTCTGATGGAGCAGGATGTCCAGTAAACCCTCATTAGTGACTGAGTTTAGTTTTACGCAGCGTTTACCAATATTCCAGCAATACCACGGCGGGGGGACACCAGACATGGGCTTCACACAATTTACCAATGGGTAATCGAACCCCGGTCTTCGGCGTGACGAGCGAACGCTTTAACGAGTAGGCTATCCCACGGTCCCTAAAACCTTAATAGCTTTCATGTACCATCCTGTCGAATCCAGATTCGCAGATTTAAAGTAACTTTTTACAATTAGCACATTAAGGACAGTTTCTCATACACGTATACAGTCGACCCAACTTGTCAACTTGCCCAAATACAGTTAATAGCTTATAAAGTATTGTGTTACCAACGCGGCAGTTGCCATGACAACAAAGTACCGCATATATAGAAAAGTAATATTCCTTAAATATACAGCTTTTGTATATACACTAAAGATAATATTCGTTCTTCCAGTATACCTCGATCACATAAAGGACAGTTTCTCATACACGTATACAGCCTACTCATCTTGTCAACTTAACTACAGTAAAAAACGATTATAATGATTAACACACAAGTAAACTTTGTACAATGTTTACTGTTATATCTCACCTGGACAGGGTGTGGTGTTGCAGGATTGACTAGGATTATCTGTGGATGAGCCTGGGCAAGTTGAACCGCCATTAGCAGGGGAAGGGTTGGTACATGTCCTGGTCCGACTGAGTGACTGTTGCCCTCCCCCACAGGTCTGTGAGCAAAGTCCAGTGGACGCTACTGTCCATGTCGCCCAGGCGCCGTCAACTGAAGAGAAAAACGTTTCCGAGAAATAATGTTGATAGTTTTTCAGTTTGTAGAAATGAAAATTAATTTTCGTGGACTGCAGGCTAATTGTGTTACATGTTTATGCACAAACGTTTTGTACTTGTGAAAGTTGATCGACGACGTATTGCCAACCAGCATAATATGCATCCAGTCAAGTTAAGTGAAAGGTCAGAGACCGAAATACAGTTAACAAATTACCAGTATTGTCTTGTCAAAGTGACAGTCGAAATAGCGAAAAAGATCGGGTTGTTCCGGTAGCCTTATGGTTAAAACGTCCGCTCGTCACGCTGAAGACCTGGATTCGATTCCCCCACATGGGTACAATGTGTGAAACCCATTTCTGGGGTCTCCCACCGTTATAGTGCTGGAGTATTGCTACATGAGGCCTAAAACCATACTCATTCACTCAAAAACAATCTTCCTGTATACATCGATCACATGGAGGACAGTTTCTCATACACGTATACAGTCGACTCAACTTGTCAACTTGACTTCAGAACAAAACGAATATAATGATTAACACACACAAGTAAACTTTGTACAATGTTTACTGTTATATCTCACCTGGACAGGGTGTGGTGTTGCAGGATTGACTAGGATTATCTGTGGATGAGCCTGGGCAAGTTGAACCGCCATTAGCAGGAGAAGGGTTGGTACATGTCCTGGTCCGACTGAGTGACTGTTGCCCTCCCCCACAGGTCTGTGAGCAAGGTCCAGTGGACGCCACTGTCCATGTCGCCCAGGCGCCGTCAACTGAAGAGAAAAACGTTTCCGAGAAATAATGTTGATAGTTTTTCAGTTTGTAGAAATGAAAATTAATTTTCGTGGACTGCAGGCTAATTGTTTTACATGCTTATGAGTAAACGTTTTGAAATTGCCAAAGTTGACGACCAAGGAAGCAGCCAGTCAGGTTATAGGCCCACATACAGTTCACAAAATATTGTATTGCCAACGTGGCAGGTGACATAGGCAAAAACAAAAGAGAAAAATCGGGTGTTGGGGGGACCTAATAGTTAAAGCGTCCGCTTGTCTCACTGAAGACCTGGCTTCGATTCCCCACATAGGTAAAATGTGTGAAGCCCATTTCTGGTGTCCCCCACCGTAATATTTCTGGAATGTTAGTAGAGGCGGCTTAAAATCATACACACTCACTCAAACAAATCTTCCTGTACACCTCGAGCACATAAAGGAAGTCTTAAAGACATATACAATCGATCGAAATTGTAAAATTGACTTCAGAACAAAATGAATATAATGATTAAAACACACAAGTAAACTTTGTACAATGTTTAATTTTTATTCTATCGCACCTGGACAGGGTGTGGTGTTGCAGGATTGACTAGGATTATCTGTGGATGAGCCTGGGCAAGTTGAACCGCCATTAGCAGGAGAAGGGTTGGTACATGTCCTGACCCGACTGAGTGACTGTTGCCCTCCCCCACAGGTCTGTGAGCAAAGTCCAGTGGACGCTACTGTCCATGTCGCCCAGGCGCCGTCAACTGAAGAGAAAAACGTTTCCGAGAAATAATGTTGATAGTTTTTCAGTTTGTAGAAATGAAAATTAATTTTCGTGGACTGCAGGCTAATTGTGTTACATGTTTATGCACAAACGTTTTGTACTTGTGAAAGTTGATCGACGACGTATTGAACCAACCAAACAAGCATAATATGCATCCAGTTTACAAAATATTGTATTAACGTGGGAAGGTCACAGGAAAGATAAAAAGAAAATATCAGTTAACAAATTACCAGTATTGTCTTGTCAAAGTGACTTATTCTCGAAACGTTCGAAAAAATAAGAATTGTTCTTTGGTAGCCAATGTGTTAAGAATGGTTAAAAACGTCCGACTCGTCACGCTGAAGACCTGGATTCGATTCCCCACATGGGTACAATGTGTGAAACCCATTTCTGGGGTCTCCCACCGTAATATTGCTGGAGTGTTGCTAGATGAGGCCTAAAACCATACTCATTCACTCAAAAAATCTTCCTGTATACCTCGAGCACTAAAAGGAAGTCTTAAATACCTATACAATCGATCGAAATTGTCAACTTGACTCCAGTACAAAACGAATATAATAATTAAAACAAACAAGTAAACTTTCTACAATGTTTGATTTTATTCTATCGCACCTGGACAGGGTGTGGTGTTGCAGGATTGACTAGGATTATCTGTGGATGAGCCTGGGCAAGTTGAACCGCCATTAGCAGGAGAAGGGTTGGTACATGTCCTGGTCCGACTGAGTGACTGTTGCCCTCCCCCCACAGGTCTGTGAGCAAGGTCCAGTGGACGCCACGGTCCATGTCGCCCAGGCGCCGTCAACTGAAGAGAAAAACGTTTCCGAGAAGTAACGTTGATAGTTTTTCAGTTTGTATAAACGTTTTGAACTTGTCAAAGTTGAACGACGACGTATTACCAACCAACCTGCGAACCAACCTAACTAGCAGCCAGTCAGTTTAAGTGGAAGGCCATAGGTCCTTATGATAAGATATCTGCATACTTACGCGAGGCATGTCAAAGTCAGGATTTCAACCATATGAAAAGTTAATGGACAAGGGATACGGTTAAAAATGCACACGATGTGTATCTTTAATTATAGAAAGGTTGAAAACTGGAGTTGTTTCTCTGCCGATCCATCAAAACAACACAAACACAAAAATAACATATGTCTGTGTGTATATCCTCGACTCAATGTTTCACCTTTGGTCAGTTTGTTGTTCATGAGGAGGTTGGTTGGTTTGTTTCTTGTTTAACGCTGCACTCAGCAATATTCCAGCTAGATTGCGGTGTTCTGTAAATAATCGAGTCTAGACCAGGCAATCTCAATTTCATTTTATTTTATTTTATTTATTTGGTTGTCTAAGTGAAATTCATCGGTTAGTATTCACTGGAAACAGACTATAGTTGATGTGAATCCATTTGATGTAACTCCAGAACTACTAATGGCCTAGTGGGTAAAGCACTACTTCAGTGAGTGAAGCCAATTTCTGGTGTCCACCCGCTATGATATTGCTGGAATATTGCTAAATGCGGCTTTAACATAATCTCACGCACTCAAAATACAAAACACAAACGTTGAATACCGTTATATGTACTCTTTTAATAATTTTATAACAAATTATAAACCATATAAAATTGCCATTTGTAGTTGGTCAGAAGAACAAATATTACTACAAATTTTCATTTATAAAATGCACCCTTAATTACACGAAAAGAAGTTTCATACCACAAAACAAAACCACGATTAAAGGCGATGGCTGAGTTGGTTAGATCGCTGACTTTGTGTGCTGACGATTAGGTGCCTAACTTTGAGATTGTCTCGGATAGGACTCAACCCCCAAATACCATAATTTATACTTTATACTGAGAAATCATAATTCCAAATATAACATATGTCACATTTAACCCGTGCTGATATATTTACAGAAATGTATCTCATTTAAACAGAGCCGGTTTAAAGCAATGAACCCCTCCTCAGGGAATATGTAGAGTCTAAAGAATCAACTGAATGCTTTACAATAATGCTTAGCTACGTAAGTCCCAAAACATTCAAGATAAATTAAGCTTACAGAATATTTTAAAAAGTAGCATTTATTATATATTAAGTTATGGCTAAATATACCTACAATCACCAACGTCTGAAGGAATGATGTAAATCCGGCTCGGGTCCATGCAGGTAGCAAAAATACTGTAAGTCCCCATGGTCTCTAGTATGGTGATCTACCTTCAGTTCTTGGTTATCTATATCCCGTGTTTTATTTTTTATTGTCTTGTATTATAGTATAAGTTTTAAGATAGTTTTACATCTCTATCTGTGATACACTAGTAGTTTTACTGTTCATCGTCAACAGTTTTTTTAATTTTAATTTTATTGATCTTTAAATATGATAGTTAATTGTCCTCGTCACGATATGGCTGAAATATTGCCGATGTGACGATAATATTAACTCACAATTATGCTCATTTGTCCTACCTGCACAAGGCACAATGTTACATGTCTGTGTCTGAGTGTCTGTTGACACCCCGGGACAGGGAGCTCCACCGTGGCCTGCGGTCGGGTTACTGCAGGTCCTGTCCCTAGAGACTGTTTGCTGACCACTCCCACAGGTCAATGTACATGCACCAGCTGATGTCACTGACCACGTGGACCAACCGCCGTTCACTGAAAATAGTTGCACCATAATGCATTCATTCGTGGACGACATGGATAGTCTGTCATTCAGACCCTGAAACAAATATACCCAATGCAACCCATGCAAGTCTAGAATATGTGGCAAGTCTAGAATATGTGGCAAGTCTAGAATATGTGGCTAGACTACCACAGCTTCTAGCTGAAAATGAAGAAAGTCTCTGGGCTCCTTTTTATCTTATCGTATTTTAGTTTAAAACATTTTTTCTGTAAAATGATTCCATTCCAGAGACTAGCTGTTAGTGAGTGAGTGAGTAAGTTTGGTTTTACGCCGCTTTTAGCAATATTCCAGCAATATCACGACGGGGGACACGAGAAATGGGCTTCATACATTGTACTCATATGGGCAATCGAACAGCTGTTAGTCTACATGGATGGGTACATCTATCACAATTAGCATAACATTCATGAGCCACATGTACATCCTGCAAAGGCATTCTTCTGGATCTAAATTGGTGTTGAGATTTTTAACTCCAGCTCCTAATTCACTACCAGCGCCATATTTGTTGAAGATCTTCACAACTGTAATGGCACTAATACGTGTTTCTGTCTATCAACTGTGACTATGAACCACACACTTTAGCTCAAGTTAAAATCGATAAACCATGATTACATAAACAGTAAAAGTGAAAAAGTGAAGTTTTTGCATGGAAACAAAGCATGATGCTGGAACAACATAAATCAATACCTGACACCTATTGTTGTTTAAATGTTATCTCGCTCCAAGGTATCGACAGAACAAATATTTTTCCTCTGTTTTTCATCCCATATTAATGCGACACATTGGTATGCATTTAACTGCAATACTATTCAAAGCAGTCTGAAATTAAGCTCATTCACTCGCCAATTGTCGAACAGTTGTCGGGCGGTGGGGTAGTCTAGTGTTTAAAGCGTTCGCCCGTCACGCCGAAGGCCCTGGTTCACTTACCCTCAAGGGTACAATGTGTGAAGCGCATTTCTGGTGATATTGCTGCTACATTGCCAAAAGTAGGGTAAAACCATACTCACTCACTCGCTCGAACAGGTGTTGTAAGTAGAATTGACTTTGCAATCAGAGCAAATGTCTGTTCACATGAATACAGAAAAAGAACCAGGAGGGGAGCTTATTCGGTGCGCACAGCGATACCTACATATTATCTGAATGTTTATCCCCAAATGTAACACATTTGTTATCAATAAGGACGTCAAACATTTCATACCATTTTCTCAATAAACAATACATGGCATTTCTTCTCCTTAACCTTTCACAAACTGCCCAGTACCTCTGAAGAAGATATGTGAGTGATTTTAGTTTTTAGCAATATTCCAGCAACACCAGAAAGAGACTTTACACATTGTACCCATGTGGGGAATCGAACCCGGGAATTCGGCGTGACGAGCGAACGCTTTAACCTCGAGGCTACTAACGCCTCCAAAGATATGTAACTGTTGGCACCAAGTACAGTAACAAAAGCTCCATGGATCAATGTATCAACCTTTCCTTAAGTTTGCCATATTTATGTACAAAGAATCTTTTTGGTCAGCGTTGACTAACAGTTCAATAGGATCAAATATCACATCGATTGAATTTGGGAATATCAAGACAAAATTATATATTAGATATTGACAATTTGCTGTATTGTATTTCGTTTACAGCACGACTGCGTGGACTTATTACTATTGTGTTGTGCAAAATATGATCATTTAATATCATTTTTACAATTGTTCCTCACAATCAGGGTGTCTCTTCACCGAGATTCGACGTTATGCATCCATTCATTATCCTTTCGCCAGGTTTTAGATATTTTATATCGTATCTTAATGATACCTGGGAAGACATAAACTCTCAAATACATTCTCTGTATAACAATTCTTTCACAGTTTGAACAATGTTTTCAAATGAATCATGTTAAGGTGTGTTTTTAACAGTGAAAATTTACATGTTCCTGTCCAGCAAAGGAACTCTAATCTAATAGTTAATAGTTAATTATGTTAATTATGGGATAGGACATCAGCAGTATAGGGAATGGTGGTACGGGACCAGGCCCTTCCAAAGGGCTCAATTTACCACCATTCCCTATACTCCTGCTGTGGTGCATGCAAAATGTCACGAAAATCGGCCGGATAGTTTAAGAGATATCGGTTTTTGAGTGAGCATGGGGTCTGTCTGTTAGGATAGACCCGTTAAACTGACATGTATCTTAGAAGTCCCCGGTAGCGTAATCGGTTGAGGTGCTGACTTATGATGTGTAGTTCTCGCGGCTATGCATTGTGTGTTCGTATCCCACCGTTGCCTCAGTGGGTTACTTGCAACTTTCGTGTGTTTCGTTGGTGGTAGCAAGGAATCAGGATCGCATCAGCTGCGCTCAGCTGATTTGGGGGCACTCTCGCGGTGAGAGAAAAGTATAAATTTATATCATTCGGAACCTCATTTGAGGCTCAAACCTCAAAACGTCATCCTTAAATAGGCTCTATGACGTCACCAAGCCACGTGACCATCGAGGGCTCTCTGACGTCATCATTATGCATGATTAAAAATGCAGAATAACTCATTAATATGCAAATATATGCATGACGTCACAGGTAAACAAAGTGAGGTCACAAGTGATTAACCTTATGCACTTATGCAATTAAGGGACCATGCCTTCAATAACGGAAAACAATGCATAGTAGTAAGCGTAGTGCCATTCCCATTTATGGAAACTGCGCGCGCTCATAAACCTATTTTCGAAAAACGTGCGCGCTGAATGCTGATTGGTTCGTTTAAACACATGGTTCCCCCCCCCTCGTTCATGGAACCATCTGTGTACACAGTCAGATGCACTTAATTAGCTCTCGTATTATTGATATGCAATGATATGGATGATGTCATAGGTCATCTAAGGTTAAACACAATGACTTAATTAGTTGCAATGAAGCCATTCACTGTGTGATTGTTAATTAAGTCAAAACGAGACATAGTAACGACAACCATATATGGTATTTCTACAACAACTAGGGCGGCAGTGTTTTATGAGTCACCGTCAATGGAATGAATGTCTTGAGCGTGGAGAGGGGGACAGAATTTGTTTTCTAAATAAATAGACATGAGTGTGAACGGGAGAAATAGGAGCAGGCTGGCTTCAAGTTCTGGAGTAGACGAAAATGTTTTAAAATATTTGTCACAGCAGGTTTAATATTTTGATATTTTACCTGAGCTGCTCATGTTAAAAACCTTTGATATCAATTTAATAAATATAGTTAGTTAGTAGTCTGTGTCACCATGTGAGCATTGTGTTTACAGGCACTTCCAATAACGTTTTCCATATGTGACCCCTTCCCTCGCTATAAGACGTCCAGCATGAGTGTAAGGACCTTTAGGCAGAAACCTGTCCTCTGTGCGTTACAATGAAGTCAAGTGGGAATCATAACATTTCCGTCACCGCATAATGCTAAGTACATTTAATATTTACATCATAAATGGAATTTTTAAACTGTCTGATAACACTAATGAAGTAATCTTTCCCTCATAACATGTAAACATATGGAAATGATAGAACCTTGTTCTGTGTTTGTTTATGGTATGTCGAGGGAGAGGTGATACATGCCTCATTAAGAGGTAAATCACAATAATGATTGACCCCCAGAGCCTTCAAACCCTGCCTCATCTAAAAAAACCCAAAACAAACAAACCGAGAAGGTGGGAACGAGTTCATTTTGTTGAGCCCGTTCATTTATTTTGTGTGTGTGTGTGTGTGTGTGTGTGTGTGTGTGTGTGTGTGTGTGTGTAATTATTTTCAAATGAAATCCAAAGATATACATTACATTGTGTTAAAATATCATTAGAATATGTCATATTATATGTGTACATATGTCAGCCTTTGTGTTGTGAATGTATGATGAAAAAAAAACACTAGCAAATTGTTGTGATCGATTTGTAGAAGCATAACAATAATTGTTTTCCAGAAGCATATTCATGATGTGGAGAACACTATTGAATTCTGTGATAGTCGACTAACGGAATCAGGGATCGGGTGGTCAGGCTCGCTGGTTTGGTTGACACATGTCATCAGTTCCCATGTGCGCAGATCCCAGTTGTGCTCATGCTGTTGATCATTGGATTGCCTGGTCCAGACTCGATTATTTACAGACCGCTGCCATATGGCTTGAATATTGCTTAGTAAGGTGTAATACTAAACTAACTCGCTCAACATTGAGATCTGAATTGAGAAAAAAAATACCAACAAAACAAAACAAAAATTGTGATAGACCTTCTTTTATTAGCAACATAAGGTCACAAGGTTACAAGTGTAAGACTTGGGTAATTTCAGTTATTGACAAAACAAAAAATAGGAATCTTAACGGTTCAATGATGTTAAAAGTTTAATGTGTTTCATCTTGAAATGACAGCGATAGGATGGAGAAGGACATCTTTACGTGACATTTATGGTACAGAAAGAGATCTGCGCCCTGGAGATCCCAACTTGGCTGGTCTCCTGATGTATAGGACCATCTGTTTCTTTGATGACAAGCTGTTGGTGTCATTTAGATAAATCTGTTTTGACTTCGTGAGAGGTCGTGTTATTATTATATGAATAAGTCCATATCTCCTCCTTCCTTTACATTGGTACAAAATATCGACTGAAGGGTTGGAACACCAGACAAGGTTTGTATATTCCCTCGCCATGTTTTATTCTTTCTCACTCTCATCATCATCATCATCATCAGCAGCAGCAGCAGCAGCATCATCTTCGTCACTACCATCGTCGGCAGGTATGATAGATTCAGTGTCGCTTTCAGCTTCAGGCATATCCATGCGAGTTAGAATGTCCTTCATGATGGTTTTCATGAAACGGGTTATCTTGTTTTTGATGATAGATTGATCAGTGCCAGGATCCATATCGTTCAGGCTGTCTCGAATGGACTGAAATAGAGGTGCCTGTTTAAAGTATTGGGTGAACTCTATGACACTGGTAAGGCTGTCAGCCAATTCATGTTCCCACATCTGTTTCATT